CGGCCAAATGGTTATTGGGGCGTTAAACCCTAAGGGGGTATATAAGTGGCACTTAGCATTTTTGTCATTTTCAACCATTTTCAGTTCCTCCTAAAACCTCTTCTATCTCACGATCATCACTAGATCTCAAAATAGTAAGTATTTTCTTCCTGATTTGTTAGTTAAAACTTCATTATCTATGTTTGTTTGAATGATTTCATCCATGAAATATCTCATTTCTATGATAATCAAGCATTCTTCAAAACACCAAGAACACACACTAGTGTTCTTAGCCCTTAAACACCCAATTCAAGCTTCTAGATGTAAAGTACACTTATCCTAGCTTGTTGTGCTTGATTTATCTTGTTTACACTTAGAAAACACCACGAAATCCTAAGATCACCGGTTGTTACGGCAAGGGGATGTTCTTGGGCTTGTAGTTTTGTTGTAAAAAAAAAACAAAACCCTTTTAAGTGGGGTTAAATTAACCCTAGTCCCTTTTTGGCCTTGGACATAGCTAGAACACATCTTGAAGGTACGGACCTTAAACATCAAAAGAAAACATTTCCACATTAGATTTTACGGCCGTAAACTCATAAGCAAAAATGGTCCTTAGGCCGTAAACTCTATAAAGGGGTGATATTGTGCCCCTAAAGCTCCTAAGCTTGACTTGATCATTTGAATGATTTAATCATTGATTATAAGACCTTAAATCACCCAATGGCACTTAGTACCATGAGTTTACGGCCGTAAACTCATGGGGGAATTGACCAGAACTCCTTCAGGGAACTTTCAAGTGCTTGGATTGTGGAACCATCATCAAAAATGTTGAGGCAACAGTATAAATACATTGAGCCCATGATATACATTAATGCTATGTGCTCAAAGAAAGGAAATTGGGCACTTCTTCGACAAGAAAGTAAATTTCCAGATTGGCAGAGGGTCAGGATGTAGGAAACATCAAAAGAAATACATGCAGGATCCCTTCCTAGATCATTAGATGTCATTCTTCGCCATGACATTGTTGAACAGGCTAGGGCTGTGTGACACGTATGTAAATTCACACACCTTTTTTGTTTCTTTACAAAGATGTAGAACATAACTCTTTTAACTTTTACACTTCACTTTGCAGGGTGATCTTTATTGGCACTATGGTTGTGATACTTGACATTTTCGCATTGGGAACTCCTGGAGAAAGAGCTGAAGTTCGTAGAGATGGTGGTAGTAAACGTGATACCACTGGCACTGTTCAAGAGGGTGTTAAAGGCCTCCGGGCTTTGGGAGTTAGAGACCTTTCTTATCGCCATGCCTTTATTGCCAATTCAGGTTTTTCATTTTTCATCATTTTCCACATTTTTTTGTCAATCATATTTCTTTAAGGAACATCTATCTGCAAATTGTTTTTGTGGGGATAGTCAATAACATTGATTCCTTGTTCAGATTTGTGATGGGATAAGAGATGTTGATAAGAAATAGGAAGAGGGACGTTGAGGATGAAGACAATCTACAATTCACGGTTCTTGTTTTGTCCCCTTTTTGACCCATTATATATCTTTACTATCTTATAAAAGAAATCCCACTATTTCTATAAATAGATTCAATATAATAATAATATTTTTTTAAGACGTACAAATCTCTAAGCTTAAAGTACAAATAGTTATGAATAAATAATATTAAATTTGAAGAAGTAAACAAGTCAGGAAAATTTCAAATTCCTTAATTACGGATGGATAGGGAGTAGGGTAGGGTGTAATTATTTGGTTCCAAACCAAAAAAACCGAAAACCAAATCGAACTGAAATCGATTTCAGACCAAACCATATTCAAATTCGGTTTTTTGTTTGATTTGAAACCAACCCGAATTTGTGAATTTGGTTTTTGGTTCGAGTTTCGGTCTCATGAAGTTTAGACCAAACCAAACCGAAAAACCGAATTTATAAATTAATTAATTTAAAAATATATTATATATTATATATTAAATAGAAACAATAATTATATGTTAAAAGCATTGTAATTTATGTTTGGATTTTTTGTATGAAATTTTAATATTTATGTTTGCAACTTCAGGTTTCTATGTTTAAAGCATTGCAATTTATGTTTGGAAAATTGCAACACTAGTTTTATTTTTAGGTAATATTTGTTTCCTCGGTTTTCAAACCGAATCAGAATTCGGTTTTCGGTTTGGTTTGGAAAATTTGAATTCGATTTGGTTTGGTTTTCGAATTGGACTAAAAAAAATTTCAAACCAAGGAAACCGTAAACCGAACCGATTTCCACCCCTAATAGGGAGAATAATTCAAAAGTTTACAAAATTTTGTTGGGTTCTTATATTATCCCATATCATTGCACCTATATTTATGCATAATTCAAGGAGTTAATTGGTACACGCCCTCTCTCATATTTTCTCTTCAAAAACGAATGATGCCGCCCCAACCATATCCATCATTTGTTAACGCAATCACTATGGCCACTCTCCTCCTCCTGTCTTACTTAACCCTTCCTTAACCCTTAACCGGTGACCTCCACCAACACTCATGCGAGCCACTACTTTTCCTTTCTGCCAAGAATGCAACTGTCGCTATGCTTTTATTCTCCGTCAAGAACCACCACCCTAATTTTGACACCTTATCTCTTGAATCTCGCCTTCTTCCCCATCGGAAGAACATAAAATTGGGTTCTTCATCTGGAAATCTAACCACAAAATCTTACCCCCGTGTCCCCGCCACATTTTCTCTGCCTCCCATTCTATTGTGCAATCTCCCCAAATTTGTTTCTTGGAAACCCTAACTACACAATCCGACAACCACCACCAACCACCACTCTTGTGTTGCTGCTAAACCGACCGCCTTCATCCACCACGACGACGATGATCATTCGCCACGATCTACCAATGTCACCATCCTTCTGGACATGCTCCCTCCATTCACACCTCCAACCACAAGGTGAAGATGAAACGTTCAAGGGCATATACTAATTTGATGATCGACCATTTTGTAAGATTTTTCCCAAAACTATGCAAATAACGGTTTTTTGTACCAAGAAATGTACAAAATACTTTTCTTTTCGAAGTACATTTGTCGTTCTTTTTCCTCCCGTAACGTTTCTACATGCTTAATTACTTCCACGTTGACTGATTATATGGTGCAACAAAACAATGGCGCATCAAAAGTCAAGTTTGTGTGTATTATGCTCCCAACATGTGTTCTGGTGATCTTATTTAGGTACGTTGAGTTGGGGTTTCCTCTTCTTTTTCCTACCATGACATTTTTGTTAGTCAATCAAATTCACATGTTTGTGATGGTTTTATTTGGTTTTTGAATCTACTATGGTTTTGGCGAGGTCAGAAAAGTTGTTGCTACATTCTCCTCTACCATCTGTCAGTTGTATCTCACTTGAAATCCTCTTGAACTTCATCTCTTCAATCTTTTTGTTGTTTTGTTGAAGGATCTAGCTAGGTATAAAATTCATATCTCCACATATTTATTTTTGATTAATCGATGTCTATTCTTATGTTGTAAAAAGGATTTCCTTTATTTTCTTTGAGTGCAACAAATAGTGATATCAATTCAATTTACACAAAAAATCTCTACACTTTCCTTGATCATTAATCTTCAAGTCCCTCTAAACATACTTGAGTTCATCGATATATGATATGGGTCTGATTGGTGGTGGCAAGTCAACTATCTTGGATTGAACTATGATTATGTTGAAAATTCAAATTTGTGGTGCTTCAAAATGTAACCATCTTTGATAAAAATGGTTGATTCAACATTATTTTTGATGTGTTTGTTACTGTTAATATATATGATTAAACTTGTAATATTTGTATTTTTCTTGACTTTTCCATTCTTTGCAGGAATTACTACACCTGGCTAAAGCCATTTGGTGTTAAAAGCATAGGAGTATCCATATCTAGCAAAGTCTGGTACATTCCCAAGAAATAAAAGCTTGTATTTAAGGAGAAAATTTTAATTACGTGTTAAATGGCTTGGTGTCCATATTTGTAGCTTGCATAGTAATGTAACCCAAAGAAATAAAAGTGGGTTGTTATTTATTATTGTATGACTCTTTTAGTTTCGTACACCAATTGTTTTTTTCACCATATAGATTTATTTTTTGCATTTATTTCACATTGGACACTCTATAGTTTCACCAATACAATTTGTTTGTACATCGGTTTGTGGTTCTAGCAATATTTCTTCCTAATCATGTGGGTTTTGTGTTGTATAGTTTATGTCCTAGATTCAGGCCAATTGTTTGATAATTGTTTAGTTTGAAAAATGTTATAAGTTTGATGCTTAACCATGTATAAAAGTATTATAGTTTAGACATACTATTGTATTTAATTAATATTCAACTGTTTTTTTAGGTGGGATTGTGTTATTTTTTTGTTTTTGGCATAATGCTCACCTTAATATTTTTTTTTATATAATCATAGTAAATAGATATTTTGTAGTTTTATTTAGAAAATATAAAAAATTGTATGATACATTACATACTATTACTTGGAAAAAAGGAGGGACTATATAAAAAGAAATGGTTTAACTTTAATGGGCTGACTAAATAAATAATTGAACCGATTTAATAAGATAACCAATAATAAAAACAAAATTTTCTTTTTTAATAGTAACTTATTATGAGGTGACTTTTTTCAATTGTTATTATTATTATTATTATTATTTTTATTATTATCCTTATTAATTTGTCTATTTTGTTATACATGTCAAATATACATAATCGATATTGATGTGTATATATAGAATCAATATGATCGAAAATTTAATCTTAGATTTTTATTTTTATGAAATGGTTTATTTATTATGTTGCTCTTCGTAGAGGTGATACAGCTCCAGGAAGTAGAGTTGCATATCGAATGACAGTTGGAGGCTCTAATCAGACTTTCAGAGGCAATTGCCACTTGGGTCGGAGCATCGATTTATTTTAATCCACTTGGGTCGGAGCATCGGGTCAAGCGGCCCCGCCCGCGAGATGTGGCGGAAACCCTAACACTCTCTGCTTATTCTCCCGCCTAAAAGTGCATACACACATTCATTCATATCCTTCCCAATCAACGATTCACTTCCACAGTTGAGCAAAAAAAGAAAAAAAACTTGAGGAAGGCAGTAGCTAGCCAACAAGATGGATTCATATTTCACCGACGAGAAAGCAGCGAAGGTCGAGAATATCTTCTTGGAGTTTCTTAAGAGGTATCGCATCAGGGGTTTTTTGTATAGATCCAAAACAAATTGATGAAATTCATGTTATTTGACAAGTTTTGGTCTTTGCTTTCTAATTTAATTTTATTATCGTTACAGTTTTAGGTTAGATGCGAATTCGAGGGAACCTTTGTATGAATCGGAAATCGAAGCAATGAGACCAAACGAGTCCAACACAATGTTCATCGATTTCTCACATGTTATGCGGTTCAACGATGTTCTGCAGAAAGCCATTTCTGATGAATATTTGAGGTAAACTTTCCTTTCCTGTTTCATTTTTGGCTAGACTTTTGTGTTTGAAATTGTTGAATTGTATGATACACCTTTTAGGTTTGAGTCGTACCTGAAGAACGCATGTAAGAGGTTAAAACTTGTAATATTTGTATTTTTCTTGACTTTTTCCATTCTTTGCAGGAATTACTACACCTGGCTAAAGCCATTTGGTGTTAAAAGCATAGGAGTATCCATATCTAGCAAAGTCTGGTACATTCCCAAGAAATAAAAGCTTGTATTTAAGGAGAAAATTTTAATTACGTGTTAAATGGCTTGGTGTCCATATTTGTAGCTTGCATAGTAATGTAACCCAAAGAAATAAAAGTGGGTTGTTATTTATTATTTATGACTCTTTTAGTTTCGTACACCAATTGTTTTTTTTTTCACCATATAGATTTATTTTTTGCATTTATTTCACATTGGACACTCTATAGTTTCACCAATACAATTTGTTTGTACATCGGTTTGTGGTTCTAGCAATATTTCTTCCTAATCATGTGGGTTTTGTGTTGTATAGTTTATGTCCTAGATTCAGGCCAATTGTTTGATAATTGTTTAGTTTGAAAAATGTTATAAGTTTGATGCTTAACCATGTATAAAAGTATTATAGTTTAGACATACTATTGTATTTAATTAATATTCAACTGTTTTTTTAGGTGGGATTGTGTTATTTTTTTGTTTTTGGCATAATGCTCACCTTAATATTTTTTTTTATATAATCTCATAGTAAATAGATATTTTGTAGTTTTATTAGAAAATATAAAAAATTGTATGATACATTACATACTATTACTTGGAAAAAAGGAGGGACTATATAAAAAGAAATGGTTTAACTTTTAATGGGCTGACTAAATAAATAATTGAACCGATTTAATAAGATAACCAATAATAAAAACAAAATTTTCTTTTTTAATAGTAACTTATTATGAGGTGACTTTTTTCAATTGATATTATTATTATTATTATTATTTTTATTATTATCCTTATTAATTTGTCTATTTTGTTATACATGTCAAATATACATAATCGATATTGATGTGTATATATAGAATCAATATGATCGAAAATTTAATCTTAGATTTTTATTTTTATGAAATGGTTTATTTATTATGTTGCTCTTCGTAGAGGTGATACAGCTCCAGGAAGTAGAGTTGCATATCGAATGACAGTTGGAGGCTCTAATCAGACTTTCAGAGGCAATTGCCACTTGGGTCGGAGCATCGATTTATTTTAATCCACTTGGGTCGGAGCATCGGGTCAAGCGGCCCCGCCCGCGAGATGTGGCGGAAACCCTAACACTCTCTGCTTATTCTCCCGCCTAAAAGTGCATACACACATTCATTCATATCCTTCCAATCAACGATTCACTTCCACAGTTGAGCAAAAAAAGAAAAAAAACTTGAGGAAGGCAGTAGCTAGCCAAAAGATGGATTCATATTTCACCGACGAGAAGAGAAAGCAGCGAAGGTCGAGAATATTTTCTTGGAGTTCTTAAGAGGTATCGCATCAGGGTTTTGTTTGTATAGATCCAAAACAAATTGATGAAATTCATGTTATTTGACAAGTTTTGGTCTTTGCTTTCTAATTTTAATTTTATTATCGTTACAGTTTTAGGTTAGATGCGAATTCGAGGGAACCTTTGTATGAATCGGAAATCGAAGCAATGAACCAAACGAGTCCCAACACAATGTTCATCGATTTCTCTCATGTTATGCGGTTCAACGATGTTCTGCAGAAAGCCATTTCTGATGAATATTGAGGTAAACTTTCCTTTCCTGTTTCTTTTTGGCTAGAACTTTTGTGTTTGAAATTGTTGAATTGTATGATACACCTTTTAGGTTTTGAGTCGTACCTGAAGAACGCATGTAAGAGTTCGTATGGGTCAGAAACCCACCTTCATAACCGACGACAACCCAAATAAGGATATCAATATTGCATTTTATAATTTACCTGTGATAAAAGGTACATTTTCTTCTACTATATCAATTTACTAGTATTTGTTTGAAGATTTGAATTTTGTATGTAATTTTGTGTACAGATTGAGGGAACTGAGCACATCTGAGATAGGCAGACTAGTATCAGTTTACAGGAGTGGTGACTCGCACTAAGTGAGGTTAGACCAGAACTCCTTCAGGGAACTTTCAAGTGTCTTGGATTGTGGAACCATCATCAAAAACGTTGAGCAACAGTATAAATACACGAGCCCATGATATGCATTAATGCAATGTGCTCAAAGAAAGGAAAATGGGCCACTTCTCGACAAGAAAGTAAATTTGCAGATTGGCAGAGAGTCAGGATGCAGGAACATCAAAGAAATACCTGCAGGATCCCTTCCTAGATCATTAGATGTCATTCTTCGCCATGACATTGTTGAACAGGCTAGGGCTGTGACACGTATGTAAATTCACTCACACACCTTTTTTGTTTTGTTTACAAAGATGTAGAACTAGAAACCTAACTCTTTTAACTTTATACTTCACTTCACTTTGCAGGGTGATCTTTACTGCACTGTGGTTGTGATACCTGACATTTTCGCATTGGCAGCTCCTGGAGAAAGAGCTGAAGTTCGTAGAGATGGTGGTAGTAAACGCGATACCACGGCACTGTTCAAGAAGTTGTTAAAGGCCTGAGGGCTTTGTGCGTTAGAGACCTTTCTTATCGCCTTGCCTTTATTGCCAATTCAGTGCAGGTTTTTCATTTTTGATCATATTGCGATCAATTGTTTTTTTGGGGGATAGTCTATAACATGTTCTTTGTTCAGATTTGTGATGGGAGAAGAGATGCTGACATACGAAATAGGAAGAGGGATGCTGAGATGAAGACAATCTACAATTCACGGTTAGGGTTATTGACCCATCATATATAATTAATTCTCTAAAGTTATATATAATTTTAGTGTTTAATTTTTTTTTTTTTTTATTGTTATTGTAGGCGGAGGAGGTAGCTGAGGTTAAAGAAATGAGAATACCCCTGATTTTTTCAACAAACTTGTTGATAGTATGGCACCTACTGTTTTTTGGACATCAAGACATCAAGCGAGCAATTCTGCTTATGCTTTTGGGTGGAGTTCATAAGTTCACCCATGAAGGGATCAATCTCAGGGGGACATCAATGTTTGTATTGTTGGAGATCCAGTTGTGCTAAATCTCAGTTTCTCAGGAAGCATCTCTATCTATTTATATTTAATCCTCTTTTATACAATGTTTCACAAATTTTTTTTTTTTTGTAGATACACAACAACCTTAGTTTCAAGATCTGTTTACACATCCGGGAAATCTTCATCTGCTGCTGGATTGACAGCCACTGTTGCAAAAGAACCAGAGACCGGAGAGTTTTGTATGAGGTATGTAAAAATATGTAAATTAAATACTGAAACATTCCAATTTTTTCAAATTCCAACACCACTTTAATTCTTGTTTATGTGTTGTGTTATCTATCAGGCTGGTGCACTGATGCTTGCTGACAATGGTGTCGTTGGCATTGACGAATTGACAAAATGGATATAAGAGATCAGGTAAGGTACTCATACTCATCACGAATGTATGTTATTTTTCTTTTTTTTGCTATTATGCAATAATATATACCTCCTAATCCATCTGATTCTGATATCAAAGGTTGCAATACATGAGCTATGGAACAACAAACAATTAGTATCACAAAGCAGGATACAAAGCAACATTGAACGCAAGAACAAATCAATTTTGGCTGCTGCAATCCCACAGGAGGCCGCTATGATAAATCTAAACCTTGAAGGTCAGAAATTTACTAATCCAATTAATTATAATGGTAGAATCTATCTGTAATTAATTAGATTTAAGAATGTTGCAGTATAATGTTGCGCTTCCTCCAGCCATTCTTTCAAGATTTGACCTGGTGTATGTGATGATTGATGATCCTGATGACACAACAGATTTCCATATCGCCTCTCACATTGTCAGAGTTCATCAAAAGCGTGAAAATGCTGTTGCCCTGCCTTCACCCACTGCACAGCTCAAGCGTTACATTCAAGTTGCCAAGTCTAAAAAGCCAAAGGTCCGTGTCTTTTTTTTTTTTTTTTTTTTTTTTTTTTTTTTTTTTTTTTTTTTGTTTGTTTGTTACTAATAAAAGTTTGTGAATTTTATTATGCAGCTAAGTGTAGAAGCAAGAAAAGTTTTGGTTGATTCTTATGTTGCTCTTCGTAGAGGTGATACAGCTCCAGGAAGTAGAGTTGCATATCGCATGACAGTTAACAGTTGGAGGCTCTAATCAGACTTTCAGAGGCAATTGCCAGTGTCACCTCGATGATGAGGTAAACAATTTTTTTTAATATCTTGGTCTTTGCATAACAAATAATACCACAAGTAGCAAACAAACACTTTTTAAGTGTTACTAAAGATTGCATCTTTTTAATGAGGAGGGGCATTCTCGTCTTTTTTCTTGTTTCATCTTTTTAAGTGTTACTAAAAGTTGCAATTTTTATTGTGACTTGTGTGCTAAGTTTGCTCCAAATTGTGTGTGTATTCTGTTTCAGGTTCACCCCTCGCCATGTTAAGTTAGCAACAAGACTTCTAAAACTTCAGTAATCAGGCATGTTTTATTTATGAGTAATTATTTTTCCCTATTTAAATAATAGTCTTTTTAGGTTAAGACAGGGACCAAGCGCGTAACAAAAACAAGAGTTAAAAAAATATAATTAGGGACCGAAGTGCAAATTATACCCCAAACCATAGGGACCATTTGTGTTTATTTATTGATTGTATCACTAATTACTATGTATGGGGAGGACCTGCAGTGTGGCGTCAACTGAGATTTGATTCCCGAGTTCCAAGAAGATGGAGATGGTGATGTTGAACCACAGACAGCAGATGCCAATAACGAGCAACCAGGTTGCTATTTATTTTGCTCTGGAGAAGATGGATAGAAACTAGAAATGTTATTTGGATCTTGGATAGAAATTAACAACTGTAATTGAAATTTTCTTTATTTATTTAATTTGTGTTTTGTGTTTGTGCAGAAAATGGACAAGGGCAGGAAACAGGAAGGGAAGAAACTTGTGATAACAGATGAATACTTTCAGAGAGTGACTCAAGCCCTTGTCATGCGTCTTAGACAACATGAGGAAACTGTTATGCAAGATGGTATCTTTTCTTTTTGCATCATATTAACATAACAGTAACACACCTTCATTCTGTTATACAATCTACTACTTTCTTCTTTCACCTCCATGTAATTTTCAAAACTACAATATGAAAACCTCTTAAATATACACATGTTGGTTGATTTCTTGTTTTCAGGAGTGGGTTAGCTGGAATGAGGCAAAGGGATCTGATACAGTGGTATGTGGGTCAACAGAATGAGAAGAACAACTACAGCTCCATGGAAGAGGCAAAGGCTGAAGGTCACCAAGATTAAAGCTATCATAGAGGTAATCAAATCCTTTCTAAACTACAGTGTTGTAGTTAGTTCATCATAAAAAAAATCTGAAAAGATGTTTGTTTGGTATATATTGATGCAGAGTTTGGTGAGAAGGGAGGGGCATCTGATAGTGGTAGATGACGAGGCACAAGGGGATGAGGAGTACGTTCTTCTCGAAACAACAGGATTCTTGCTGTGGCACCTAACTATTTATTCATTAAAATGCATTTAACATGCTTTGCTTCAAATGTTGTTCAATTGATTAAAAGTCTTGATTTCTATGGATATATCCTCCAAATGGTTGTTTTAGTACAAAGTTTTAATTTATTTTCTTTGGCCACAAATTATAATATATATATATATATATATATATATATATATATATATATATATATCTTCACACCACTAATTTATCATCATTCACTATAATAAATAACTATTAGTGTAAACAATTAATATACCGATTTGGATAGTTTCTTGATTCTTATATGAAAGTATCATATAAATTCTTATTATTCATCATGTATCTCAAGCAGCTTCAGTTGCTTATAAAGTGAGAATGATAACAATAGAATTAGCTTCAGTTGCTATAAAGTATGAGAATGATAACAATAGAAAATTAGCAGAGGGACTTAAATTGCCGAAAACTATAAATTGAAAGTCAAACAAACCAACCGAGGACTCAAAATGGAAATAAGAAAAAGTAGGAATGAAAACGCAAAAGAGGTGCTGATATAATTTTTTTCTAACAACCTTAAATAAGAAAAAAATAAAAAATAAAAACCTGTTATTATTGTCCGTAATATCAACTTTATTAAAACTTAATAAATTAATGACCTTTAAAACCTACAAAAAGTTAAGCCATCAAATAAAAATAATTTCAAAACTTTAATTACCTTTAAAACGTGCAAAATAGATTGGGCTTCTGCTTCATATACTTCTCTACTTTCATAAATAGTTGATGAGAAAAATTATTATTTTAAAAGCGTAAGTTATTTTTTATATATTATAAACACTCTTATTTGATTTCATATACATTGACCATTTTTTAGTTACCTAAATTTGCAGTGAATAGAACATCTTTTACATCGATTTATTTTAATATCGACTTGGGTCGGAATTCGGAGCATCGGGTCATGGCGGCCCAGCCCGCGAGATGTGGCGGGAAACCCTAACATGCACTCCTTATTTTCCCCCCAAAAAGTGCATACACTCATTCATTCATCTACTTCCCGATTGGGTCGGAGCATCGGGTCATGGCGGCCCAGCCCGCGAGATGTGGCGGGAAACCCTAACACGCTCTGCTTATTTTCCCCCCAAAAAGTGCATACACTCATTCATTCATCTACTTCCCGATCAACGAATTCACTTCCACAGTTCTGCAAAAAAAAAAAAAAAAACTTGAGGAAGAGGTAGTAGCTAGGCAACAATATGGATTCTTTCGGCGGCGCATATTTCACCGACGAGAAAGCAGCTAAGGTCGATAATATCTTCTTGGAGTTTCTTAAGAGGTACCGCATCAGGTTTTTCGTGTAGATCCAAAACAAATTGATGCAATTCATGTTATTTGACAAGTTTTGGTCCTTTTTTATTTTATTTTATTTTATTATCGTTACAGTTTTAGATTAGATGTCAATTCGTGGGAACCTTTCTATGAATCGGAAATCGAAGCAATGAGACCAAACGAGTCCAGCACCATGTTCATCGATTTCTCTCATGTTATGCGGTTCAACGATGTTCTGCAGAAAGCCATTTCTGATGAATATTTGAGGTACACTTTCATGTTTCTAGTAAAATTTTACTAAAATTTATCGCAAGACTAATATAATAGGTCAGAACGCATGTAAGAGGTTTGTAATGGGTCAGAAACCCACCTTCATAACTCACGACAACCCAAATAAGGATATCAACATTGCCTTTTATAATTTACCTGTCATAAAAAGGTATATTTTCTTCTACTATTATCAATTCACTACTACTTTTTCCACCATTTGTTTGAAGATTTCAATTTTTAATATATAAAGATCGAGGGAACTGAGCACATCGGAGATAGGCAGACTAGTATCAGTTACAGGAGTGGTGATTCGTACTAGTGAGGTTAGACCATACCTCCTTCAGGGAACTTTCAAGTGCTTGGATTGTGGAACCATCATCAAAAATGTTGAGCAACAGTATAAATACACTGAGCCCATGATATGTATTAATGCTATGTGCTCAAAGAAAGGAAACTGGGCACTTCTTCGACAAGAAAGTAAATTTGCAGATTGGCAGAGGGTCAGGATGCAGGAAACATCAAAAGAAATACCTACAGGATCCCTTCCTAAATCATTAGATGTCATTCTTCGCCATGACATTGTTGAACAGGCTAGGGCTGGTGACACGCATGTAAATTCACACACCTTTTTCGTTTCTTTACAAAGATGTAGATCATAACTCTTTTAACTTTTATACTTCACTTTGAAGGGTGATCTTTACTGGCACTGTGGTTGTGATACCTGACATTTTCGTATTGGCAGCTCCTGGAGAAAGAGCTGAAGTTCGTAGAGATGGTGGTAGTAAACGTGATACCACTGGCACTGTTCAAGAAGGTGTTAAAGGCCTCCGGATTTTGGGAGTTAAAGACCTTTCTTATCGCCTTGCCTTTATTGCCAATCCAGTGTAGGGGTTTCATTTTTCATCATTTTCCACATTTTTCTGTCAATCATATTTCTCTAAGGAACATCTATCTGCAAATTTTTTTTGTGGGGATAGTCAATAACATTGATTCCTTGTTCACATTTGTGATGGGAGAAGAGATGCTGACATAAGAAATAGGAAGAGGGACGCTGAGGATGAAGACAATATACAATTCACGGTTGTTGTTTTGTCCCCCTTTTTGACCCATTATATATATATATATATATATATATATATATATATATATATATATATATATATATATATATAATCCAAAGGAGCTTAGGAATAGTATTTTTTTAGGCTTTAGGTTTTTACCACAAAAGTTTGCTGAATTTGACACTTTTAGTCTTACATTTTTGCCTTTTGATTAAGTTTTTGTGCCTTAAGGTTTTGTCGTAATATCAACTTTATTAAAACTTAATAAATTTAATGAGCTTTAAAACCTACAAGAAATTAAGCCATCAAATAAAAATAATTTCAAAAGTTTAATTACTTTAAAAGGAAGAAAATAGATTGGGCTTGATCTTCATATAGTTCTTTACTTCTTTTCTACTTTCATAAATAGCTGATAAGAAAATTATTATTTTAAAAGCGTAAGTTATTTTTTATATATTATATTATAAACACTTTGATTTGATATACATTGACCATCTTTTAGTCACCTAAATATCCACTTGGGTTGGAGCATCGGGTCATGGCGGCCTAGCCCGCGAGATGTGGCGGGAAACCCTAACACGCTCTGCTTATTTTCCCGCCAAAAAAGTGAATACACTCATTCATTCATCTACTTCCCAATCAACGAATTCACTTCCACAGTTCTGCAAAAAAAAAAACTTGAGGAAGGCAGTAGCTAGGCAACAATATGGATTCTTTCGGCGGCGCATATTTCACCGACGAGAAAGCAGCTAAGGTCGATAATATCTTCTTGGAGTTTCTTAAGAGGTACCGCATCAGGTTTTTCGTGTAGATCCAAAACAAATTGATGCAATTCATGTTATTTGACAAGTTTTGGTCCTTTTTTATTTTATTTTATTTTATTATCGTTACAGTTTTAGACTAGATGCCAATTCGTGGGAACCTTTCTATGAATCGGAAATCGAAGCAATGAGACCAAACGAGTCCAGCACCATGTTCATCGATTTCTCTCATGTTATGCGGTTCAACGATGTTCTGCAGAAAGCCATTTCTGATGAATATTTGAGGTACACTTTCATGTTTCTAGTAAAATTTTACTAAAATTTATCGCAAGACTAATATAATAGGTCAGAACGCATGTAAGAGGTTTGTAATGGGTCAGAAACCCACCTTCATAACTCACGACAACCCAAATAAGGATATCAACATTGCCTTTTATAATTTACCTGTCATAAAAAGGTATATTTTCTTCTACTATTATCAATTCACTACTACTTTTTCCACCATTTGTTTGAAGATTTCAATTTTTAATATATAAAGATTGAGGGAACTGAGCACATCTGAGATAGGCAGACTAGTATCAGTTACAGGAGTGGTGATTCGTACTAGTGAGGTTAGACCATAACTCCTTCAGGGAACTTTCAAGTGCTTGGATTGTGGAACCATCATCAAAAATGTTGAGCAACAGTATAAATACACTGAGCCCATGATATGTATTAATGCTATGTGCTCAAAGAAAGGAAACTAGGCACTTCTTCGACAAGAAAGTAAATTTGCAGATTGGCAAAGGGTCAGGATGCAGGAAACATCAAAAGAAATACCTGCAGGATCCCTTCCTAAATCATTAGATGTCATTCTTCGCCATGACATTGTTGAACAGGCTAGGGCTGGTGACACGCATGTAAATTCACACACCTTTTTCGTTTCTTTACAAAGATGTAGAACATAACTCTTTTAACTTTTATACTTCACTTTGAAGGGTGATCTTTATTGGCATTGTGGTTGTGATACCTGACATTTTCGTATTGGCAGCTCCTGGAGAAAGAGCTGAAGTTCGTAGAGATGGTGGTAGTAAACGTGATACCACTGGCACTGTTCAAGAAGGTGTTAAAGGCCTCCGGGTTTTGGGAGTTAGAGACCTTTCTTATCGCCTTGCCTTTATTGCCAATCCAGTGCAGGAGTTTCATTTTTCATCATTTTCCACATTTTTCTGTCAATCATATTTCTCTAAGGAACATCTATCTGCAAATTGTTTTTGTGGGGATAGTCAATAACATTGATTCCTTGTTCAGATTTGTGATGGGAGAAGAGATGATGACATAAGAAATAGGAAGAGGGACGCTGAGGATGAAGATAATATACAATTCACGGTTGTTGTTTTGTCCCCCTTTTTGACCCATTATATATATATATATATATATATATATATATATATATATATATATATATATATATATATATAAAATCCAAAGGAGCTTAGGAATAGTATTTTTTTAGGCTTTAGGTTTTTGCCACAAAAGTTTGCTGAATTTGACACTTTTAGTCTTACATTTTTGCCTTTTGATTAAGTTTTTGTGCCTTAAGGTTTTCTCGTAATATCAACTTTATTAAAACTTAATAAATTTAATGAGCTTTAAAACCTACAAGAAATTAAGCCATCAAATAAAAATAATTTCAAAAGTTTAATTACTTTAAAAGGAAGAAAATAGATTGGGCTTGATCT